GAGCCCAGAATAAAATTAGACATGCCAACTTGGCACAGTCTGCCCTGGCCCAGGCTTTTGGCCCAAGGCCACTTTCCTCAAACACCAGTTTTCCAATGAGCCTTACTTACCATCCCTCCTTGAGGCCTGCCAAGCATTCCTGGGGAGGAGGCTGGAGGGAATTAAGGGGGTGGGGGTGGAGGCTCAGGGTATGGTTGACTCCCCTGTTGAGATGATTGATGCTTAAAATCTGTATCTGGGGGTTGGGACAGGCATCTGGGCAGAGGGACATGGTGTGACAGGGTGAGACACCAGGAAGGAAAACCTGAAAGGCCCAGATGCCTAGAGAGTGCCTGTGGAGGAGCTAATGGAGTTCAGCACTAGGGCTAGGATTTTTTCAGAGCTTTTTTGGGGATAGGGATATAGGGGGAGAGGGTCTGAGCCTACAAATTCCATGTTCAAATTTCATCCACTAATCTAGATTCATTCTAGGGAATTTTCTCGACCTCTGAGATATTAAATGACTTTCCAAAAATCACAGAGTTTGTGTATGTCAGAGGTTTTCTCATCTCCTAAGATCTGGGTTCAAGCTCTGCCTCTGATATGTACTAGCTGGGTGATATTGGGGAAGTCACTTAACTTCCTAAAGTGTTTTATTCACTACATCCTACTGGTCAGATGAGGCACTGGTGCATATGGATGGAGCACAGGCATTGAGTCAAGAAGAGCTGAGTTTAAATTCTGCCTCAGACACTCAGTAGCTATGTGACTGTGGGTTAGGTCACTTAACCTTCTATTGCCCCCCCAACTCCAGGAAGTTTAAGTTGTGGTGTTTAAAATGTATTGAGTGCTAGATTTGGGATCAGGAAGAGCTGAATCTTTTTGTTTCTTTTTTAATATATTTTTATTTATTTCATTAAATATTTCTCAATTATATGTTAAAAAAAATTAACATTCACTTTTTAAAATTTTGAGTTCCAAATTCTTTTCCTCCTTCCTGCTTCACTCTTTTCCTTGAGAAAGGAAGCAATTTGATAATTGATTATATATGTGAAGTCACACAAAACATATTTCCATATTAGCCATGTTGCAAAAGAAAACACAAACTAAATAAAACAATAAAATTAAGAAAGTTTTTAAAAAGTTATGCTTCAATCTGCATTCAGAGTTCTTCAGTTCTCTCTCTGGAGGTGGATAGCATTTTTCATCATGGGTCCTTTGGAATTGTCTTGGATCATTGAATTGATCAGAGTAGCTGAGTCTTTCACAGTTGATCATTGAACAATGTTGCTGTCACTATGTACAATGTTCTCCTGGTTCCGCTCACTTCACTCTGCATCAGTTCATATAAGAAGAAGACCTGAATTTGAATCCTGCTCTGAACACTCGAACAAAACTTGTGTGTGATATGCTTTGCAGACTTTAAAGCACTATATGAATGTTTACTACTATTATTTCTAGCTATCTGAAATCCAAGCAGGCTTGGCTTGTGTGACACCCTCTTCCCTTAGGATCTGATCAGACCAACTGGAAATATAAAAGGTATCAGAGAAGCTAGAGTTTCCCTCTAAGCAAAGGGAATTCCCCCTTCCCCTCCTCTTTCCCATTCTTCCTCTATGCCTCCCCCTCCTTCCCCCACCCCAACACACACAGCAGAGTTCCTCATGCTTCTGTGGGTTGAGAACTGAAACAATGAGAGAGTGTCTTAGGGAATTCTAACAGGAAACCCTCAAGAATATTCCCGCTTGGGAGATTGCACTTTAGTCCTAGTAGAAAGTTTCGTGAATAGGCTGGAGGTCAGGACAGAGAAAACAGAGGCTATGTGCCCTGGCAGAGGCCACCATGGGTGGAGAAGAGAAGGGAGGCATCATACTCCCTGAGGCTGAAGGAAGACAGTCCCTGCCCACAAGTAGCTACCAGTCAAGCAGGGGAGACACAGCCTGGATGCTTAGGGACCCCCTGGTCTGAAAAAGGAGGTGCTGTGGTTCCCACTCTCCTGGAAATCAAAGCCAAGGTTGATTCTGGCAAGCTTTCCTTTGGCATTTCTCCTCCCTCCTCCCCCTTGGCTGCTCAGGCTCCAGGAGAGAGCCTTTGGGAAACACCCAGGCCCAGGGTTCCTCACCAGCCCCTCTCCTTCCCCAGTGCTGGCTCCCTCTGAACAGGCATCCTGCCAGCCATCCCCCAACCCAGCAGGACATCACCACTTCAAATGTTTGCCTTTTCATGACTTCCTCTCTCCTTCTACTCACCCCCTGTAATCAGATAGCGTGAGGATTTGTGAGCATATTAAAAACTTTCCTGTAAAACTTAATCACTGCCTGGGCATGTGTCCGCCAGAAAGGCTTATAGACATAGGGAGCTCAGGACAGACCCCTCTAATGCAATCCAACTGAGCACATACTGTGGCCCCCCCAGTCCTGTGGAAGATCCTTAGAGGAAGACAAGAGAAGGTTTCTGCCATCAAGAACATTACAGTCTAACTGGGGAAACAAGTCTCAGTCAGACAAACAAATATGAAAACAATATCATAAAATATAATAAGTGCTAGATAGTTTTTGGTTCAGGCAAGAATTGCCATAGGAGCTTAGGGGAAGCAGAGACCAAAGAAAGTGTGCCCTGGCAGTCAGGGAGGACTTCATGGAGTTGGTGAGCCTTGAACAGGCCTCGGCCTTCTGTCAAGAGCATCCTTCTGGTCACCACCTATGGCCAAGCACAGAGTCGTCCTGCACCCTTCATTCTCTCCCAGCCTATGAGCCCATCAGTGTCAGTTAGTTTTGCCTCCACAACATCTCTTGAATCAATGCCCTCTATCTACTCACAACATGGCCACAGTCCCTAGTTCAGGCCCTTATTGCTGGTCTTTGACCATAGCCTCTAAGTTGGTTTCCTTTTGTGTTTCCAGTCCCTTCCTTCTCTAAACCGTGCTCCACACATCTGCTACAACTGATAGTCCTAAAGCACAGGTTCAATCATGTCATACAAGAATCTTTGATGATTCTCTATCCACAATAAAATAGAAGTACTATGTGAGAGGCAGTGCAGTGTAACGGATAGAGAGCTAGACAGATTGGGATCCAAGTTCTGCCTTTGACCCCTCTCCCACCTCACATCAGCTTGAGTGACCTTGGGCAAATGACCCAACCTCAAAGAGGTCTGGGCAACCTCTTTGAGCATTAGTAGCCGAGAAGGTATTAGTAGAGAAAGTTCCTCACCAGAAGCTTCTTACACTAATGAAATCATAGTTCCAGACCCCAATTCCCTCTTATTTGGCATTTAAAGCTCTTCACCTTCTTGCTCCAACCAATCTTTCCAGATTAAGCTCATATCATTTCTCCTCATTCACTCTATGTCCCAGCCAAACTGGCTATTTCCTATAGAAGACTTATTTGTGTACCCATCAGATCCAACTCCTTATCCCCTTTAGGCTGTTTCTAGTATATGTGGCCAGATTTGAACTCAGGTCTTCCTAACTCCAGGCCTAGCATTCTATCCACTGCATCACCTAGCTTCACATCCGCTCTTATTAGTCCCATTTTATAGACAAGGAATCTGAGACTGAGAGTGGTTAAATGACTTGTCTAGGGTCACATAGCTCTTCAGTGTCTGGGGCAGGATTCGACTTGGGTCTTCCTGATTATGTCCAGCTCTCCATCTACTTTGTCACAGCTGCCACATAATAATAGTGTTTATATAGTATTTTAAGTTTTTCAATGGCTTTACAAATATCATCTCATTTTATACTCACAGAAACATTGTAGGTGCTAATACCTGTATTCCCTCTCTCCCGGACTGTATAATAATTATAAACAATTTCTCTTTATCAACTTGGATTGTAAGCCCCTTCAGAGTAGGGATCTTTTTTTTTTTTAACTTGGCATCCCCATTGATGACCCAGCATCATTGCCTTGCTAAGTAGTTTATAATCATTGTTATACTGAAGTTACTTAACCTTAACAACTGTCTGCAAAATTAAGATAATTTTGCCTCCTCTGCCCACATCTAAATAAATGAAGCCAGGGGAGCCCAAAGATCATGTGTGTGGAAGGTGCTGGGAAAAGATAAAATATTAAAAATATGGGAACAAATATCGTTATTGAAGGAATGGGGACTGGACCTGTGATTACATTGGTGTAGGGAATTCCAGAATGAGGAAATTACTTCCACCTATGCACGTCACAGCAACTCTGCTTTTTATAGTCTTCCAGCATAGTTTAGAGCATTGAGGGGCAAGGGGACTTGCTCAGTTACATAACCTATAACTGTCAGAAGGAGGGTATTACTAAAAGCCTTCCTTAAAGGCACCTGCCTTTTCTCAAAGCTGGGAGAAAGAGTATGGCAGTCATAGAATCACCAGGAATTAGAATGAGAAGGAATTTTAGAGTTCACTCATCCAGCAAGTGAGTGAATCAGTCAGTCAGTCAGTCAGTCAGTCAGTCAACAAGCATTTATTAAGGGTTTCCTATCTGCCAGGCACTATGCTAAGCACTAGGGGAACAATAAATGAGGGTTACAACCTTCTCTCTGAGATTATCTTCAATTTACCCTGTGCATATTCTTGTATGTATGTAGATATTTGCACGTTTTCTTTCCTATTTTAATACAATTTAAGAATTAAAATTAAGTTTAAATTTAAAATTTCAAATTTAAGCTTCTTGAGGGCAGAGACCATGCTTTTGCTTTCTCTATATCACCAGGGCTTAACACAATGCCAGCACAAAGTATTATTGCTTAATAAATGCTTGTTTGTTTCTTATGCAGCCTGTGGAAATTAGATAAGGGTAGGAGGTGAGGAGGACACCACAGGAATGAATATGACTCAGTATTTTCCTGCCCTGGGTCTGAGATCTTATTAGTAACCGTCATTTGCTCAATGAAGTGAATAAGGACACTAGAAAAGTGTCTAGGGGGCTTTCTCCAATTAAGCAGAAGAAGCCTCATCTGTCCATTAGATTAGAGAATGAAGCCAGAGATCACCCACCACCTTGAGAGTTTTGAAGTGCTCTAGGGAAAGAAGGAAAAGACTGTGTGCCAAGGGTACCATTGGCTTTCAGTGTGAGAGGAAAAGCAATAAATTCTTCAGTCTGCTCCCTTCTCCTTATTATTGTGTGTCCTTCATTCTGAAAGAAGACCAATGACATCAGGAAGATGATGTCTTGACTTGCAAGTGAATTGAATTTAAGTAAGGCAAGTCTGTGCAAAGTCGCCAGCCACCACCATAAAGGTAAGAATGAGATGACAAGAGATTCCATTCTCAATAGCTTTGGGGAACCTGAAATGAGAAGTTACCCTTCTCTCCTTGAAAGCCTTGTGCCGCCACACCTCAACTATCCCTCCTCTTGCCCTTCTAGGGGTTTGCCTTGGGACTATGAGGGCCGAGAATGTAGGAAGAAGAGAGATGTGGTCACTGGTGACTTTACAGCAATGAAATTATAGTCTGGATCTCTTTCCAAATTGTCCTCCACCCCTTTCAATTTGTTGTTCCGCCCTAGTCTGTAAAACTTTGAACCAATAAAAGTCTGTTGTAAGTGTTGGGAAGAGTTGTGCAAGGCCCCCTGATGTTATGTGGTCTGAGCTTTTGTAACCAGAAATTCCCCAGTGGTCAGGGAAATCTTTGACTCCAATGCTAACATCACGGGAGTATCCGCAGCCCACTGACCACAAGCATATATATTAGCAAGTTTCTCAAATAATCTATCTACGCTATCTCTTCACCCATGGCTCTGCACTGCCTACCATCTGACCTAAATAAGGCTGGTGGAGCCAGTGGCCCCTGCAAATCATGCTCAGTCCCACCTTCAAGTTTTCATTTACTTCGTTTCTCCCTGTCAAAGATACCTCCCCACTCTTCCTTACTCAGATTTTACCTAACCTTCAAAGCCCAGCTCAAATCCCCATTATCACTTCCAAACCTTGAGTGGGGCAGGGAGGGGGTCTTCAACTTGGGCTGAGGGTGTTAGGCAGCAATTGCCAAGTGAAAAAGAGTTAAGAAATAAATACAAGTCCCCTCCCCATTCCAGGCATCAAAGAAAATTAGGGCAACCAGCTTGAAGCTCAAAACCAGAAATCCTCAAGGCATCAGATCAAGGAAGCCAGGCAGGGAAATTTCTGAGTTTGGGAGCAAAGGGGTCAAAATGAAGGGAGAGTTTGAAAAGACCAAGATCAGGAAAATGGCATCAGTCAGGGAGGGTGCCCTTTTTACTAAAGATTTGCTTCATTCAAAAAATATCATGGAAGAAGACAGTGAAAGGACCAGATTCTCTGGATGCGGCACCTTCTCCTCTTAATAAATGGTGGTGTTGGGGCAGCTAGGTGGTGCAGTGGATAGAGCACCAGCCCTGGAGTCAGGAGGACTTGAGTTCAAGTCCAGCCTCAGACACTTGACATTTACTAGCTGTGTGACCCTGGGCCAGTCACTTAACCCCTTTGCCTAGGCTCCCCTCCCAAAATGGCGGTGTTTTCCCAGCATCCTTCAAACATAGGCCCTTAAAGTTACAGCTTTGTTCAAGGAGTGCTTTTAGTCAATACTTTTTCAAAACCACAGTTCATGAGGTCCCCCCAACCCCACCCCAATCTGATATTTCAGAAAAATCCAGACAACACATGAACTCAAAGTGGAGACATTTAATTCAACAAAATGGCGAGGTAAATATGGAAAATATTACCAAGAAGGGCATACTGCCCTCCACCATCCGTGGGAGGGGGTTCATACATAGCCTAGGGCTATTCACGCTTTAGGGCTGTGTTCCAGCTAGAACATGTTTCCAGACCCACCACTGGTTAGTTCTCTACAGGACTGTTGCTGTCATCTGCTGAGTCCTGTGCTGCATTGCCATGTGCTGGCTACCTGTCACCTACATTATCATCTGGCATTCACTGTCATCTGCTAGTTTCTATCCTGAATTACAATTGCCATACATCCTCTTCCGGAAAGGACAGGTGAAAGCTCTTTTGGAAGGTGGCCCACAGCCCTGGGCTATTTCATTTTTTCTAAATTGAATCTACAACCAGTAACAGGGATTGTCTCTGGTCAGATCTCTGGTTTTTACCCCCTTTGGTTGTACCTAGCAGCAACTCCCTTAGGCTAGCCTGATGTTTGGGTTGGAAGAAGTCAATTTCTTCCAGCTCCCATAATGCCCCTTGCAGTAAGCCAAAATACATACAGATTACCCAGAAGTTTCACTTAGCCAGTTTGGAGGGCAGTGGTGTCCTACATTCTTGTCCTACATTCCACCAACTGCATCCAAGCTGCTACAGTGGTGATTTGGAAGGTGAAGGGAGCCTGGAAAGCTGTGATTTCCACCTTAGTGTCCAGCCACACTTAGCTGCTGAAAGATGAGTCACTGGAAACACTGTCGGATTTGGAGTGAGAGTACCTAGGTTTGAATCCTAGCTCTTTTAGTTACCTACAAAATCTATATATGGCAAATTAAATAATAAGGAAAATATCACCAGGACGAACATACTGCCTTCCACCACCGATGGGAGACAGACCACACGTAGCCTAGACAATATCCTATGGAATAAACTCCAGTAAACTCAAAGATCCTTGCAGTTTTTCTGGTCTATTTAATCTAAAGCGGCTTCTCAGAAAGTCCAGAAAATCTTCCAATCATTGATCTCTCTCACCCATGATGAATAATTGTGGGTGACCTGAGGCAAATGACTTCACTTCTCCAGGCCTCAGTTTCCTCATCTGTAAAGTGAAGAGGATGGAGTACAATCTCTCTGAGGATCACAGAATCATAGAATCTAAGAGTTGGAAGGTTAAATGGCTTTAACCCAGCCTGGAGCTGAACAAGAATGTCCTCACACAGCATCCTGACTGCCCCCGCCCCAGCCTCTGCCTGATAACCATTTTTGAGGAGGAGGCCACACCTTCCAGAGGCAACCCATCCTGTTTTGGTAGAGCTTTAATTTTTAGGAACTTCTTCCTTCCATGGAGTACAAACCTGCCAGGCTTTCCTCCCCTTCTCTATCACAAATTCTGAAATGGAATAGTTATTTTTCCCCAAGGAAGAAAATTGCTTTCTGCCGCAGCCACTGGTTTCTTCTTGTTGGTTAGAATTAGATTGAAAATAGAAGTTCCTATTTGTCACTTTCTGAAGAAGATTGTCTCATAGGCTGGAAGGAGAGGGAGGGAGACAGAGACAGACAAGAGACACAGAGACAGACAGAAACAGAGACAAAGAGACACAGAGATATAGAGAGAGATAAGAAAGGAAAAGGAAGGGAAGGGAAGGGAAAGAGAAAGGGAAAGGGAAAGGGAAAGGGAAAGGGAAAGGGAAAGGGAAAGGGAAAGGGAAAGGGAAAGGGAAAGGGAAAGGGAAAGGGAAAAGGGAAAAGGGAATAGGAAAGAGAAGGATTCTCTATTAGATGTTCCTCACCACTTCTATATCATACCTCAAAACCAGGTTTGTGACATTTTCCAAATTCCTCCTCCATTTCTTCCATCTGACCAAGTGTATATGGTAAAAACTGTCTTGACAATCTTGATATTGATCCTCATCTAAATATTCTTCGCCATGCTCCCCACTGCCACTGCCCATGTTCTGACTCCTACATTTCTTCACCTAAGTATATCATCAGCGTAAAATGATACTCTACTGTTCCTTTTCCTTTTTCTCCATCTGGATGAAGTATATCTTCTCACAGTTATATATCATACCAGTCATGAGTCCCATTCTACCAAGCTTCAGGGATACTCACAAGGTCAAGTTGGCCTCCTTAGTTTAGGATCTCTATTTACCTTATTTGTTACCCACACTTTGTTCATTTGCATTATAGTCATCTTAAGGCCAAGGGTTTAATTGTTTATGTGTTCTTTGATTCTCCTCAACCTCCGTCTTTGCCACTGTTGATCATTCTCTCCTCCTTGATACTCTCTTCTCTCTAGGTTTTTGGGACACCACTATCTCCTGCAGGTTTTTCTTCTATCCACCTGACCACTCCTTTTCTATCTCCTTTGCTGGATCCTCTTCCAGATCACACCTTCCAACAACAGGTGTCCCTCAGGGTTCTGTCCTAGGCCCTCCTTTCTTCTCCCTCTACACTACTTCACTTGGAGGTCTCATCAGCTCCCATGGATTTAATTACCATCTCTCTGCTGATGATCTTTAAATCTACCTCTCCCGCCCCAATCTTTCTGCTGATTTCCAAACTCCCATCTCCAATGGCCTTTCAGACATCTTGAACTGGATGTCCAGGAGACATCTTAAACCCAATATAAACAAAATAGAACTCATCTTTCCCACTAACCCCTCTCCCTTCCTACCTTCTTTATTACCTTTGAGGGCAACGTCATCCTCCCAGTCTCTCAGGTTCACAACCTAGGAATCATCCTGGGTTCCTCATTAGAGTGCTAAGTCTGGAGTCAGGAAGACCTGAGTTCAAATATGGCCTCAAGTGTGTGTGACCCTGAGCAAGTCATTTAGCCCTGTTTGCCTCAGTTTCCTCATCTGTAAAATGAGCTGGAGAAGGAAATGGTAAAGCACTCCAGTAGCTTTGCCAAGAAAACCACAAATGGGGTCCCAAAGAGTTGGACATGACGGAAATGACTGAACAACAACCCCCATTTTACAGGTGAGAAAACTGAGGCAAGCAAAGATTAAGTAACTTGCTCAGAGTCACATAGCCAGTAAGCATATAAGACTGGATTTGAACTCAGGTCTTCCTGACTCCAGGTGCATTGTTCTATTCATTATATCCCTAGCCACCTCCTTAAGGAATATGAGTCTGTATATTCCTTGTGATCAAAAACTGTACAAACTCACTGAACTCTGGGGGTCACTTGTGATGGAACTGAATTATTATGGAGGGTTTTTTGAGGTGGTAGGAACAATGCATTTGTATTTCTATTTGTATTTGTATTTCTACATACAAGCCATTGCCTACGAAAGGGGACCATCTGGTTAGATAAGTGTTTATAAAGGAATGCGGGCAGGGTGCCCACAAACTATAATACCATTTGAAGCTTCCTAATTGGATGAGAGAAAACAGGGAATTGTTAAACAGGGAAATGAGCTCAACCCGGTTCAGCAATCTCAGACTCCAAAACCAGCCTGAGCTTCTTCTAGGACAGAAGACAACCTTCTCTTCTGGGGCCCATAAAGCAGCTAGATATTCCCAGCTTCAGAAGAATCATGGCTAATCTAGGTTAAGAAACAGAAGCTCCTAAAACAGTTAAGAAGTTAAGCACGGGACTCGGTGATTTCCTTCCTATCTCACTTTTGTGGATACAAAAGAAGGCCCCCGTTTTTTGTTGCTGGCAGATTTGCAGCCTAAAGGAAGGAACTCAGCTCATGTATTTTACCTGGGCTTTTGTTTTGCCCTAACTTTATTTGCATGCCAGTCAAAAAGGGTGTGAAAGGGGCTTAGCCCCTTTGCCACCCCACCTCCCAAGCTCCAGAGGGTCTTCTGTTTATCCGTTTAGTTGATTTGGTTTGGGGTTGGGTTTTTTTTTTTTTTGGCAATGTTGCAGAAATAGAGTTTGAGACTATAGACTCATAATTGGGCTGTAATAGGAGTTACAAGGAATTTCTCAACTCTAAGTTGTTAGAGACCAGACAAAGGCAGTAAAAGAACTGACTGAATCATAGCCTGGGGCTATTGTACTGGCTTTTCTGGGCTACTCTGGTTGGGTATAATTGCTTCGACCCCTTCCTAAGCTCTGGATAGGTATTTGGTGCAATGAATAGAGCACATGACCTGGAATTAGGAAGGCCTGAGTTCAAATGGGGCTTGAGACACTTAATAGCTGTGTGACCCTAGGCAAGTCACTTACCTCCTGTTTGTCTCAGTTTATTCATATGTAAAATGAGCTGGAGAAGGAAAGGGCAAACCGCTCCAGTATCCTTGCAAAGAAAATCCAAATGGGGTCACAAAGAGTCAGACAAAACTGAAACGACTGAACAATGACAGAAAACACTGACCTTCATTGGGTATAGGCTATTCCAGCCATTACTCTTAAGTAGAAGGCCCTGAAGATCTAAGGCCTAACATGATAGCAGAGATGGATTTGTCTGCCACAAGCTCAGCAAGCAGCCAACAGTAACGGCTGGATGGAGAGTAAAAGCCACGATGTGGTGCCCAGGAGAAGCTGAGACAGAACACCCAGCAGAAAGCAGCAGTTGTCATCACCAGGGGCTTTCAGCAGCTCTGCGGCACCAACGGTGTTAGTTGCCTAATTTGTATTTGCTCTCCACTTGTGGGCCCTGGTTACATGGATGCAAGGGCCCTTTGCTTATGTTCCCTGGATACACACATGTTGTTCCCTATGTATGTGACTCTTCCCCACTGGAAATAGAGTAAACTGTGGGAGACAGGGTGTCGTGTATGTTTGTGTGGGGAGGATCTTTTCTTGTTATTTTATTTGCTATGCTGTTTGATTAAATGTCTTTTATTTCGGACTAATAGGTCCTCTAGCTGGCTAGTAAAAGCCAACATAGCTCACGAGCTTTGAGAGGATACCGTGATACTAAGTGTCGCAAATCTGGGAGAGATTTTCTGAGAGGTCCCTGTATGAGGGGGTGCCCCTGGCGCTACATGTTGATGTCTTCCATTTTTCTATCGGTAATTTCTCAATATACTTCTCTTCCCTCCCTGATGAGGCTTCTCTTGTAACAATAATAAAAAAAACCATTAGCCAAAAACAAACTGGTAAGAAAAAATCTGACATCAACCATGTCTGACAGTATACACAGTACTCCTCATTCTTAGGTACCACCTTCTCTGATGAAAAGAAGGAGGTGCATTCCCTCATCTCTTCTTCAGGGCCAAGACTTTTCCAGATAATACAATTCTGTTCAGCCATGAAGAATACACCCAGAAGTGAGCTCACAAGTGGTAGTATGTGTGCTCGTGTAAAAAAATAAAGTGTGTATACATTTATATATAAACACATATGTGTGTATACATATAGACATATATGTGTGTGTGTATATATGTCCACACATAGTTCACATCTCTTCTTGAACTACTTCTCCAGCTCCCATTTATATTGGTAGCGTGTGTCCCCAGGGAGTGATTGACTACTTCTCTCGAGCCCCCACCAGTATATATCTCATCAATTATCAGACTTAATTAGCTTTCAGAAAGGGATTTACTAAGCAGACACAGCAAAGATAACTGTTTGATAATAATTCCCACAGGAGTATGAGGTACACTCATCTATCATACATACAAGGTTTTGGGGGAGAGTGGGCTGAACTATAGCTCCTGGTTAGTCTCAGTCCTTTTGTCTCTTTGTAGAGTCCTCACGAAATTCCCCAAAGGTGCAGCTCTCTGATGGACCAGTGCCCTTAGAGAGCTTCCCTTCCTCAGTGGGCCTAATTTATTCTTAATGTGTCTGACAGTTTTTAGTGCAGACACTGCAATCATCCACCGCTTCCTTGGAGATACTGTCACTGGCTCCAGTGTACATTGCTACCGATGCCAATAGGACCTCTAAGTTCTTAATGTTGTTATCTGATCAAATTAGTCTCTGGATACTGGATTACCTTTTTTCAGGAGACTTTTTGTTTGCTTTCCATGTGTCTGTCTCTACTCTCGGTCGGATGAGTAATCTGCTACTACTCTGGTCTCTCTGATAATATGCTCAAAGGAAAATGAGACATGAATGGAGAGGCACCATCTTCTGTTTCCATGAGTGATTCCCTCTCAGGGCTCTGGAAACACTCCTAAATTTGGAGTCCTTTCTCACCCTACTACCTAGCCCTGAGCTAGCATGCTGTTTATACATGTAGCCCAACAGGTATGACGATCTTCAGCCAATCCCAAGATATTTTCTGTACAGCATTATCTGTCTTTTACATTGACTCAAAACTCTTATGACCGTTTCAAATTGATTGTCAGTTTATTCATATCTAACTTACTTTTGATTGATTTGAGATGTCTGGGCTTTCTGTGGTTAATTGTGGTGGAGATAAACCCCACCCTCACATATGCATCCACATTTCTTTGTATACATGGATATTCAACTGAACGATTTTTCATATGCAAGGAAACAAGATTTTCGCAGCTCCTCCTAGAAACTGCGACTTTATTTGGAGATGCCAAAAGTGTATCCTCTTGTCTCTCCTCCCTGAGAACCAGACTGTGATATCTTATGAGTACAATTCTTACTTTCTCCTAGGTATTCAGCAATGCACGCTAAGCAAGTTTCCCGAAGTTGGTTTGAATCTTCTAACCACGAAACATCTTAGGAGCATGGAACTCTGTCCCCTCCTCCTTCCCCACCCCCACTACCCCATGGGAGCACACATTTTTCCAGCCAGATAAAGAAAGAAACAAAATGGAGCGAGAGAGTCAGGGAGCCAAAGTTTTATTAAGGACATCTGAATATAACTGTCTATGTGTAAGTATTCATGCTTGTCCATGTATGTCTCTATCCTGAATATGTGTTATAGCTGTGCATGTCTGGAATTGCATGTATATATCTGGGTTTGAGGGAGAGGGCAGAAGAGGTAACAATCCCCTTTCCCCTCCACACCAGGACTCTTTAATTCCTCTCGAAGTTTCCAGAGCACAGGACATATGCTGGCCTAGCCTGGCTGTGCCAATGGCATTAACGTGGAGGACATCAGAAGGATGTTGGATCCACTCCCAAACACATCCTGAACCTCGCAGGCTGTGGGAATGGAGAGTGTTTTCCATGGACGCTCTGAGTTTTTGGAGTTAATCAAGCATTTTTAATAGTCTCTTTGGGGAAACTGGTCTCTGTATTTTTAAAACTTGCTATTGTGTTCTGTTGTTAAGGTTTAAATGGTCATAAAGCAAGCAAAAAATGAAAAGTGTGGTCCCTTAAATTAACTCTCTAAAGGAAGAAAAGGAAAAATGAGGACTGGGAGGAAACCATATAGGAGGCGTCTGAGAGTCCCCACAAATTCTAATATGATGCAGACACAAAGCAGGTCCGACCTAGGTCCTTCATAATAGGGCCAGAGCATTATGTATGCTACCATGCTGCCCAAGAAAGCTTAGGTTTGGGGTTTGGGGTTTTTTTGTTTGTTTTCTAAGCAGAACTCCAGAATGAAAGGATCCATTTCTTTTTTTTCAAACTAGAAGAGAAGCTTAAATTCAGCAAAGAAGAATCTAGAAGAGATGAGCCATGGGTAGCATAATCAGACAGCCTGAGGCTTGATAGGGTCCCACCACAAAAGTGAAAGGAGCACTGGACTGGCCACCAGAGGACCTGAGTCTGTAACTTAAGCAAGTGACTGAACCTCCCTGTGCCTGGTTTTCTCTTCTATACAATGAAGGGGGGTGGTGGCGTGGAACTAAATGGCTTCTGAAGTCCCTTCTAGCTCTATAGCAATGATCTTAAATCTACAAGATTATCCTTTCCAGCTTTAAAATCCACATGGACCACACCATTTGGACTGTACTTCATAACAGAGCATTATCGCCATCTGGTGGCCATTACTTCTATTGTAGGCATGAGGCCCCTGGAGAGCTCCTGCAGACCACCCATATGTGGGTAATGCTACTGGTGCCATCTATGTTCAGAAAAATACACCACTCAAAGGTTGGACTTGGTTTTTCCATCCCATGTAACAGGGTTTATAACATCAGCTGCATCATGGGACATCCCAAAGACCCACAGAGACAAATAAAACACCACAGATACACTTAGGTTCATACTTCAATGTATCTGTGACCCAAGTCTTGCGATGGCAGCCTTTCTTATACTCCCACAAACATTCTAAAGAGGACCTCCTAAACACACTGAAACCTTTCTAGGTCTTTTAACACTTCGCATATATCAAAGCAGTGCTCAAAACTGTCCATCTGTTGTCCCTAGTATCCCTACATGATTGGCCCATTTCCATATGGACTCTGTAGGAGTCCATTACATAGATAAACACCTTTGGTGAGCATACATCTCCCTGGAGTCCACTACATAGATAAACACCTTTGGTGATCATATATCTCCCTGTTTTATGACTCTCTTGATACTGACAGAGGATTATGGAACAAAGTTATCTTTGTTGTTACATCTATTATGGAATCTTGAATAATCTCAACCTGTGCATAGGAGGTACTTTCCTAGAGGAGAGCCTCAGAGCTGTACTTTGCCCTACATGTCAAGTGCTTTTATTCTGCAACCACCAAGCAGTATTTTTCAGTCTTTACACCTTTCAGTAATTCTGTGGAAGTTGTTGTTGTGTGCTATAGGGAATCATTTGCAAAATGATATAGTTCCCTTCTCATATTTTAATCAAGGATGTCTTCAGTATGTTCATAGACCATCTCTACACATATTTTATAGAGGTGAAAAAAATAGATTAAAAGGTCTGTTGAAATCTTCAAGGTCACCATTTTTTTTTTTTGCAGGGGGGAGTAATACTATCCATGATTTTTTTCTTCCCTTCTTTTGTATTTTTCCCTCTTTGGGATATCTTGAAAACCAATCCCTGAGAGATAATGAGAAAAAAAACCTGAATATTACTTCTAGAATCAAATTATATTTTAAAGCAGTAATTATCAAAACTATTTGATACTGGTTAAAAAAAAAAGGAAAGTAGGTAAGTGGAATAGACTACATAAACAAGCATGTGAAACAATCTAACTCAATAACCCAATGTTCAACAGCCACCAATATAAACTACTTCGGAAGAACTCCATATGTGACAGGCACTGCTGGGAAAATTGGGAAGCAGTCTGGCAGAAATTAAGTTTAGACCCATATCTTACACCATATGCAACAATAAGCTTAAAATGGACATGAGACTTGAATGTGAAAGGTTATACCATAAAATAATCAGAGGAGGACCACTTTAGATACTTTTCATTACTACGGCTAGGGGAAGAATTTTTAACCAAATGAGAGATAAAGGAGATCACAAAAGATAAAACAGATCATTTTGATTTAATAAAATTGAAAAGGTTTTTTTTTAACCAAACTCAAGGGAATTGTATATTATGTTGTGCATCTTTAGTGCCATGGACACATAAATCTAAAACACAATCCCTAGTCTAAGGACTTTCCTATTATTGAAAATTGCCTTCTTGATTCTAATGTCTAGACAAGAAGTTACTTTCACCTCCAACTTAACTCATCCTCAGGGTGCTTCAGGGAATGAAGAGGACATGTTCTGGCTGGGTTTTCCCCCACCTTCTTCCCAAATCCTTGGCTTCCTTACTGTCATACCTAGACTAGGCTGGCTCTGTAATAAGGCCTTGGGCAGTGTGAACATAGCGGGATATTTTTGTTGGAATCAATTTAATTCTACCAGTAGGTATTTAATATCTGCTTTGTAACCAGTCATTTGTGGAGACAAGAGAAGGAAAAGATTAGATTCCTATCCTCAAGAAACTGAGAGCTGGATTGAAGAAGAAAAGAATTACATGGAAGAAACCATTACAGGAAAAGTGCTTAAAGGTTTGCAAAGCACTTTATATTCATATTATAGCATTTGATCCTCAACACAATCCTGGACAGAAGGTACTAACATTACTATTGTTTTACAAATGAGGGATGTGGAGGCTCAGAAGTTTCCAGGGTCATAGAATTAGTGAAGCATCTAAGGCAGTATTCAAACTCAAATCTTTTTGACTGCTCTGTGTCTGAAGTTCTGGTCCACTCCATTCCCTCCATCTCCCTTAGGCATATGTCAGATCAAGGGTGTTTGGTGCTATAGGAATACAACAAAGTGAACTCTACTCCCTCCCTGTTGGAGAAGAGAAGATTCAGAGAGGAAGTGAATTCAAGTATTTGAAGAGCTGTTATATGGAAGAAGGACTGTATTTGCTCTGCTTGGCCCTAGAACCAGGAGTGATAGTTGCAAAGAAGCAAATTTAGTCTCATTTTCAGGAAAAAACTTCCTATCAATTAGAGCTACCTATAAGTGAAGTGGTCTATATCAGGAAGTAGCAGGTTCCCCCTCACTGGAAGTCTTCAAGGAGAAACCGGATGATCCCTCTCAGGTGTCTTATGTTAGATATTGTTTTTCAGTCATGAATTGGACTAGATTTCAGCTAAGGTTCTTTCCAACTCTAAAATTCTGTGATTCTATGACTCCGATCCTCATTTCCAGCTACATGAGAGCTCTATGAGATAGGAGATATCAAACAGTAGAGTAAGGTTCTAAAAAGCTACGAGCTATTCCTCACTCCAGCTCTGGAATCCACATACTGGAGGTACCCTCCACCCCTGCCTCTCCCTCTGATGGGATGGCTTCACCCAGAACCTTCATTTAAAGAACCCAGGCCAGCCAAGTCTTAGTCTTCTCTAGGCTTCACTCCTGACTTCCACTTTTTATATGTTGTCTTTCCGTGTTAGAATGTAAGCTCTGGAGGCAGAGCCAAGATCACAGAGTAACAGGAATCAGTATGGTGATCTCCTTCCCCTTGACCTTCCCCCTCCTAAAAAAGCTCCTCCAGATAGATCTAGAAAATGCATCAGACCAAATCCTGATGGGGAAATCCAAGAAAAAGTCACACTGAGTCATAGCATATGGAAACAGAGAATGAAGCTTGTATTCACTAAGGCTAGGTCTGGCTAGGAGAGATGGTACAGAGCACCCCAATGTAGAGAGAGGCACCAGGCTGAGAGAAGGTCCCAGACCCAAACCAGGGCACCCCAACAACAATGGGGGACAACTGGTAACATTGCGGCCCGCTACCCAGTTCTGAGTCACAGATCTTGGTCAGACTGGGAAGGGGGCCCTGTGCCCAGCAGTGGCAGGTATCAGTTCCTGGGTAAGAAGTGACCACAGGCCCTAGGATGAACAACTTTAGAAGAAAGCAGCAGCTATGTGGCTTTCACCTCAAGAGCAGACTGAAGTCTCAGTTCTAGCTTCTAACCCAGTCTGAAATTTGCAGAGAAATAATCAGGGCAGGAATCCCCGTCCAAAGAAGAGACTGCAATTCTACTACTATGAGCCAGCAGAGCTTCTAGTGACTGACAGTGGCTAAATCCAAAAGTAGTCTACTTTTGCTTAGACACAAACCTAGGTCAGGAACTTGCAGTTCATACCAGAGAGGTAGTTGTCAGACTTTGCTATAAGTCAGATCACTCTGGGAACATTGAAGGCTTGCAAGCCTAATTGCAAGACCCAAGTCTGAATTGTCCCTTAGAACCTGACATAACATGATACTCAATACCCCAAGCAAACAGCAGCAAGAGCAGCCCAGATTTTCCCTCCAGAAGTGCATAGAACCTAGTCCTAACATTCAGTCCAAAGTCAGAAAGTAGTCTGAAAGAATAAGCAAGCAAAAAAAGAATCCCTTGAGAAAGTATTATGGTGACAGGGATGCTCATGATACAAACACAGAAGAAGAGAGTGACTCCAAAACATTTACAAACAAAGCTTCAAAGAAAAACACAGCTTGGGCATAGGCCAGAAGCAATGAAACAAGAGGGTTTTTTAGAGCTTAAAATGCTTTTATCAATGACATGAGAGGTCTAGAGGAAAAGACTGGAAAAGAAATGAAGTAATGGGGAAAAAAACTGGAAAGTGAATTAACAGTTACAAAACTATGCCCAAGCAACAAACTATTTGAAAATTAGAAAGGATTAAAATGAAGTCCAATGAGTCCTTGAAACAATAAAATAAAAGCCAACTAAACCAAAGCCAAAAGGCTAAATATATATATATATATATATATATATATATATATATATATATATATATATATATATATATATATATATATATAAAATATATATATATGGTAGCAAAAGCAACTGACCTGGAAAATAGAAGGATAAAAAATTTAATAATCACTGACCACCTGAACATCATGACCAAAAAAAGTCCAGACATCCTATTTCAATAAATCTTAAGGGCGGCTA